CGAACCCGCCACCTTAGGTGTATGTGGCTGGCACCTTAGCCGCTTGAGCCACAGGCGCCGAGCCTCTTTTTTTTTTTTTAGAGACAGTTTTATTATGTCGCCCTCGGTAGAGTGCCATTGTATCTCAGCTCTCAGCAACCTAAAACTCTTGGGCTTAAGCAATTCTCTTGCCTCAGCCTCCCAAGTAGCTAGGACTACAGGTACCCACCAAAACGCCCGGCTATATTTTATTCTTTAATTAGTTCATTTACATACATCTCAACCTCATCCTTCTGCCTCCATCTTATGATTATGTGCCTGTAATAAATATGCAGAAATGGAATTCTATGAAAACCTCACTTTGGAAGAACAAAACAGTAAAGGCAAAAGTCATTGAATATACCAGTCAATTCAATTCTCCAGGCCTGGCATGGGGGCTCACACCTGTAATCCTAGCACTCTGGGAGGCCAGGGTGGGTGGACAGCCTGAGCAAAAATGGAGGCCCTGTCTACTAAAAATAGAAAAACTGAGGCAACATGATTGCTTAAGCCCAAGAGTTGGAGGTTGCTATGAACTATGAAGCTACAGCACTTGACAGCTTACAACTCTATCTCAAAAAAAAAAAAAAAAAATTCAACTCTCTATGAGTATAGATTGTCTCCAGTAAATTTTAACATCAGGTTAGCTTCCCTCAGGAACCCAGAGGGTTTTCAGTTGTTTCCCTCCACTCAGTTGTATGTGGAGAATTTCAAACTTGTTTCCACTAGTGTAGAAAGTAATTAGGAAGTGAAATCAGCTAAAGATCATGTATTACAGAAATAAAGACAGCATTTAAAAAATTATTATCATCAAATGATCTACTTATCTATTTCCCTAAAACACAAAGAACTAGCTGAATTGACAGAGTCCTTTCTGTCACCTTCCTCACTTGTTCTAAATTCTGGGTTATATATTAAAGCTAAGATACCTTGGTCCGTAATCGCTGAGCAATCTTCTCAAATTTGCCTTTGTCATGGAATTTAAAAGTTCGTCTCTGGCGTTGGGAAGGGGCAATGGAAACTCGGGGGTCAAAAAACGTATTGGACTCCATATCTTCTGATGGCTTTTCTTTTAGTTGTTGCTTGAATTGTTCCCTTTTCACAGCACGAATATTGGCCTTAAGAGTAGGCATGCGATGCGTCAGCTCAATCTCCTTGCCTGTTGCATCTACAGTGCGACCCTGTTCATCTAGGATCAGTGGTGTAGGTTTAGTTTGATCTTTTAACTCCACTTTCCTGAAAAACAGCCCACAAAGAAATAAATCCTATATAGAATATTAAAGCAAACAAAAAACAAACAGAAAATAAACCAAAGCAAAACCCAACTGAACAACTGTATCAGTGACATTTGGATTAGTAACAAACTAAATGTTTAAATATAGATTATAATCAAATGAAGTAAATTTATGAATTATATCAGTAAGAATTTATAATCCTTTCTTTACCCACCCTCACATTCCTGAATCAGTCATGGACGCTAGACAAATCAGAGGTGCTAAAATAAAGTCTATCATCTTTGCCCAGTTGTATGCAACCTTGAAATCTGGTCTTACTCAATGTGCTTTAAAAGATATGGCCCTCAGTTAGAAAACAGGAGATCAGCTCCGTGCCTGTAGCACATGGTTATGGCGCCAGCCACAGACATGGAGCCTGGTGGGTTTGAACCTGGCCTGTGCCAGCTAAACAACAATGACAACCACAACAAAAAATAGCTGGGCATTGTGATGGGTGCTTGTAGTCCCAGCTACTGGGAGGCTGAGGCAAGAGAATCACTTAAGCCCATGAGTTTGAGGTTGCTGTGAGCTGGGACACTACAGCACTCTACCGAGGGCAACAAAGTAATACTGTCTGAAAAAAAAAAGAGGATCATTAACATTCAAAGATATCTACTGTTTCTCAAACTTCAGAAATGACAAGAGATTCCATGAAATTGATACTCACGGGGGAGCAATACCCATAGCATGGAGATTAGCCAGGCCCACCATGTTGGCATTGCCAATGAGTCCTGGCTTCAGTGCCAGCTGGGCTTGGATTCGAGCTTGTAGTTCAGCTGCTTTCCTTGCTTTCTCAATAGCATCATTCATAAAAGTGGCAGCCTGGGAGGGCTGAATAGTGTTGCCAATTGGAAGTCGCTCTGGCTGGGAGGAGGAAGGAGTCTTTGGCTGTACGATAGAAGAAAAGAAATCAGAAGGATTGAGGCAAGCAGACAGATACACAGACACCATGATAAGACTGTGGTAGATAGCCGTGGAGTGGAACTAGATATAGGCACTGTCTGGTCTCTCATGTGAGTAGATGGCAAGAAATTCTAGCTAAAGATTATTCTTTTTAGAGTAATCTGGGCACAATACCTGAGGTGTAGGGGGGCTAATGAAGCTCAGTTGTTTTTTTCTCTCCTCAATTTGTCGTGTTGCTGCTTCCATCATCTGTTTGATCTGTTCTCCAGGGGAAAAAAATTTAAAAAACATTAATTTCTCCCATATGGGTTCCTAAAACCAAACAGTGCTCAGGTCTAGCGACCTGAATTTTTAGAGATGGAGTCTCGTTGCAATGCCCTAGTTGAACTCAAACTCAGGGATTCATGTGATCCTCTTATTTCAGCCTCCAAGTAGCTGGGACTACTGAGACTACATGCCCAACTGAGACCTAAAATTTTGTGCATGACTCTACTGTGTTCGTCTACCTATACCATAGGCTAGGAAATTTAGTAAAGATAAGCCTACATAGGCTTAGTCTTCTGAACACAGGGTTGGCATGTTAAGTAGTAACACAAACTGGTGACTCAGACTGGAGTTGGAGAAACCCAAGTTTACAGAGAAAAAATGATCTGAATTTTTTTTTTCTTTTTGAGACAGAGTTGCACTATGTCACCCTCAGTGGAGTGCCATAGTGTCATAGTTCATAGCAACTTCAAACTCTTGGGCTCAAGCAATTCTCTTGCCTCAGCCTCCCAAGTAGCTGGGACTACAGGCACCTGCCACGACACCCAGCTATCTTTTGTTTAGCAGCTCTGGGCCCACCAGCCCCGGAGCATGTGGCTGGTACCCTAACCATTCAGCAACAGGTGCCCAGCCCAAGGTTTAAATCTTAACCCTGCCACTTAATGCCAAGTACCTTGGACAAAGTACTTAGATATGCAAACCTTGCAACTGTCTAAAAGGGGGGAAAAATAGTACCTGCCTCACAGGTCTACTGTGAACATTTAATTAATGCATGCAAACCTAATGGAACTTGCACAAATAATTGATTATATTTTTTTATGTTTTAATCATGCCATTAAGGGTGGTGCCTGTGGCTCAAGGAGTAGGGCTCTGGCCCCATATGCCAGAGGTGGTGGGTTCAAACCCAGCCCTGGCCAAAAACTGCAAAAAAAAAAAGTTCTCAATAACTTTGGCTCGGGCCCGTGGCTCAAGTGGCTAAGGCGCCAGCCACATACACCCAAGGTGGCGGGTTCAAATCCAGCCCAGGCCTGCCAAACAACAACGATGGCTGCAACCAAAAATAGCTAGGTGTTGTGGTGGGTGCCTATGGTCCCAGCTACTTGGGAGACTGAGGCAGGAGACTCTCTTGAGCCCAGGAGTGGGAGATTGCTGTGAGCTGTGATGCCACGGCACTCTAACCAGGGGGACAGCTTGAGGTTCCTGTCTCAAAAAAAAACAAAACATGCCATTAGTCCCTGGATTCCTAGTCTAAGTAAGTAACCAGAGATGACAATGCAAAGACCTATTCCCTAGTCTCCATAAACTCTTTCTGTCCTAAAGGAGCTCAATTATTGTAAGCTCAAATAAGCTTACATTATTTGATACTGTTCAATAACTCCTTACACATTTTTCAAAAAAGATTCACTCTTGGCTCAGTGCCCATAGCCCAGTGGTTACAGCACCAGCCACGTACACCAAAGTTGGCGGTTTGAACCTGGCCTGGGCCAGCTAACCAACAATGACAACTGCAATAACAACAAAAAAATAGCCAGGTGTTGTGGCAGGCACCTGTAGTCCCAGCTACTTGGGAGGCTGAGGCAAGAGAATTGGTTGAGCCCAAGAGTTTGAGGTTGCTATAAGCTATAATGCCACAGCACTCTACTGAGGGCAAGGTAGTAAGACTGTCTCAAAAAAAAAAAAGAAAAAAAAAAAGACTCACTCTTGAGGTGTTTTGAGATCAACATATTTCAAAAAATATGTCTTTGAAAAAAAAATTTTAAGGCTCGGCGCCTGTGGCTCAAGCGGCTAAGGTGCCAGCCACATACACCTAAGGTGGCGGGTTCAAATCCCCAGCGCAGGCCCGCCAAACAACAATGATGGCTGCACCTAAAAAACAGCCGGGCGTTGTGGCGGGCGCCTGTGGTCCCAGCTACTTAGGAGGCTGAGGCAGGAGACTTGCTTGAGCCCAGGAGAAGGAGGTTGCTATGAGCTGTGATGCCATGGCACTCCACCCAGGGGGATAGTTTGAGGCTCCGTCTCAAAAAAAAAAGAAAAAAAATTTAAAGTAATTGATATATACGTGATGTATTTATACAGTTCGAAATTTAAAACATTACAAAAGGGTATACATTTGTAAGGTGTTACAAATTCTTCCATCTCTGGTCTGCATAAAAAAACATCAGTTTCTTTTCTTCCAGAAATATACATATATAAATCCATCCATACGTAGATATATATAAAATATACATTAAAAATACATATTTACTGCTAATGCGGTAAAAAATTGTTTTAACAGGCTTGGCGCAGCGGCTCACGCTTATTACACCCCAATACTCTAAGAGGCCGAGGCAGGAGGATCCCTTCAGCTCAGGAGTTCAAGACTGGCATAACCCAATATAGAAAAAATTAGATGTTGTGGCAGGCATATGTAGTCGCAGCTGCCCAGAAGGCCGGCAGATCATTTGACCCACTTGAGATTGCTATGAGCTAGGCTGATGCCACAGCACTCTAACCTGGGCAATGGAGTGAGACATGTCTTAAAAATAAATAAATAAAAGTGTTTAACGGTTCCCACTTCTTTTTTTTATTTTTTTGCAGTTTTTGGCCTAGGCTGGGTTTGAACCTGCCACCTCCAGCATATAGAACCAGCGCCCTACCCTTTTGAGCCACAGGTGCTGCCCAACAGTGCCCACTTCTAAAACACAGTGTAAAAAACCACAAAGTCAATGTGAAATTACTTGTAAGTGAGTTATATGTCCTCTGCATTATATTTGGAAATTTTTCACCATCAAGAGGAGTTCTGATCATTTCATTTAATTTTCTCAATGGCCCAGTAAGGTAGATGATTGGGCAAATAATGTAGGTAACACACCTTGCTTGCCACACCAGTAAGTATTCAGTAAATGCAATTTCAATTCTTAACTGCAATACTTCTGGTTAAACCGAAGAATGCTGATACTTAAAGCAGGAAGTAAAACTTCCCCAAATGCTAAACACTAATTCAAATCTGTATTACAATAAATATGGACCCACACTTCCTTTGCTTTATTAAGTCACAAGTCCCTAGTTACTAACCTGGAGCTTAGTTAGCATGCCCGGGCTCTCTGATGGAGGACCAGGGATCACCTCTGGCTCTTCTTCTACCTCCTCAAAACGGGGTATTCGTCGCTTCTTTACTCCCGAAGATTCTTTGGCAATCTCAGAGTCATCACCAAACACCTCCTAAGGGAACCCAAAATGAAACAATGGTTGTATCCTTCTCCATGGGAAGGAAGGAAGAATTACCCTAGCCCCTACCAGCAATTCATGGCTTTTCCCAGGGGAATATGATACAACCTTGCAAATAGCTACTCGCCAGAAGCAGGGTTTTCTAGACTCTCCACCACGTGGACCAGTGGACCATCTCACCCAACTTCCACATTTTCCTATTCCAGTCAAGCAAATTTCATCCCCATGTTCTTATAAATGCTCCCATCTCCAGGTCTCTGCAGATGCTATCACTCATTCTATAGTGACCTGCTTCAACTTCTCTATAACTCTTACTCCAGATTCTGTCTGAAACTCACCTCTTTCAGGAAATGTTTCTCTTTATAAACTAATCCCACTCTGATTCAACTTCTGTTTCAGACCCTCTTAGCATGTAAGAGATTGGTTCGTATCAGGTTAAGTTACATTGTTGATATTCTGTTTGCTACGTGTTAGGTATTTCAATGTTAGTAGGTCCTCCCAACTAGAGTCTAAGCTCTTTCAGGACAGGGGTTTTCTCTTTGTTCTTCAGTATTCCCCATTAACACTTTGTTCTCATCAAACAATGGGAACTCAAATATGTTGACTAATTTGCAAGGTGAATTTAACAGGACCAAGAGTGGCCAACTGGAAGGGACAATGGGAAAAAGCAAATGTACACACCGGCGGTAGGCTTTGGGTGACATCCCCTCTTCACTAGGAGGGCTCGTGTTTTGCAAGGACATATCCTCGGCCAGGGGCGAGCTCTTCCTGGAACTCCTACAGTTCAAGAAAAAGGACTCTCCCATAATATATTGTGTGGGATGGGGACTTGAATGGACCAAAAATGGGACCCATATCCCATGGCTACCTAAATGCCTCCTTCAAGAAACCATTTTTATTAATCCCACCCAATGTAGTCAGTTCATTCATAGCATGCCTTTAGGACTTACATGTAAGTCTTACAAGCAGACTTACATTCTACACCCTACAGATCTGTGTATACTGTGGGTCAGTCATTCCCCCTTAAGCACAACAAAATTCCATATAAGTCTGAAATTCTATAATCAACCCTAAAATTTACTTTAAACTTCTACTTACATTTTATAATTTTTGACTATATTTTGTTGCCCCTGGCCTCTTTTAAATTGCAAATTCTTTTAAGGCCAGGACTATCTCTCATGCTTGCTATCCATCACCCTACAATGTGGTAAACACAAAGGGCACCATGATGCTCTATTTTTCCTAGTTCCATAATGTGGTGAGGGGACCATGAAGACAATTCTTATCCACTGTGCCTCAGGAAAAGCAATGGGATAGCCAAGGTATCAAAAGCACTTTAGAAAGTTTGGTGGAAGTAAGATAGAGACAGAGGGAAATAAAATAGAGACATAGATTATTTGGTGCTGCTGATATTAGAAGAGGCCAGGACCAATCAGCAATGCCAAAGTGAAAAATAATCGTTAAGGGAGTTATTGCCAACTCCTTTACCTATTCTACTTATGGGACTAGATGTCCACCAGTATGCTATATCACAAATGGTAGGCTGTCAAGAATATCATAAATAGCTGTTCTTTGATATCCTATTAACAAATGCACTGAAGAGAAACCTCTGTGAAGGGGCAACAATGAGGTCTACAGCTCAAGTAGCAGTGGTGTCACATTCTGAAGCAACTTATTACATTACAAATAAATCCAAGTATAAAATCTTAAAGCAATCAGTTTATAGACAGTAATAATGAGGGAAAAAAAGGAAATATAGGGAAATAGAAGAACCAAAACTCCTAACTGTATACAAAAAAAAAGACAAAGCTACCAATTATTTCTTTGGAATATTTCAGCCCATGGACTTTAGTAGTTCATCCTCATGAGATGGTGATAATACAAAGTCACCTCCTCTAGCCTGATGGCTAAGTACCTCTTGAACATTTGGTATTCTAGTAGTGGATATAAAGTATGAGCCAGTTAAGCTCAGCAACTTTTTTACCATTCAAAACACTCTTGAGCTCATTAAATAGTAAACTGTAACTTACCTTTAGTTCTCGTTTTCTGCTCCTATCACTGCTAGACTTGGAATGCCTAGAGCTTCGGCCCTCCTCCACAGCCTCAAATAGTTTGTCCACAAATCGGAGAGTAGAATCGTCAAGAAAAGGTTTCAGATGGTCTGACAGGACAAAAGAGGATTGAAAACATAAGAGGACGTAGTCAACACTAGGCATGTATCAGATGCTAACACTGGAATTTTATTCCTCAGAGCGAGAGAAATGTATTTTAAAGTTCTCTATGTGACTTGCATATTTCTTACATTAAAAAACGCTGCCCTTGGGCAGCGCCTGTAGCTCAAAAGGGTAGGGCGCTGGTCCCATATGCCAGAGGTGGCGGGTTCAAAGCCAGCCCGGCCAAAAACTGCAAAATAAATAAATAAATTAATTAACTTAAATTAAATAAAAAACGCTGCCCTAATTTTTTGGAGTAGGAAGTAGCATAGCCAGAGCAACCTGCTTAGGTTGAATATCAAGTTCGGGATGAATAATCAGCCTAATCTTTCTCAAATAGCAAGTTGTACAGAGCTACTATTAACAAAAACAAAATCTACCTCCCTCAAGCTTTTCCATGTATTTCATAAAGACTTCTGTTAAAATGTCAGTCTAATGTGTATATACTTATCTAACTTTAGTATATTTTCTAAGTAAATCAAACTTAGGTTACTCAGTGTGGTACCCAAATGGAGGGAGCCTGAGATTTAAAATATGCCACAAATAATATAAAAAATAAGCAATAAGGGTGGCGCCTCTGGCTCAGTGGGTAGGGCACCGGCCCCATATACCGAGGGTAGCGGGTTCAAACCCAGCCCTAGCCAAACTGCAACAAAAAAATAGCCAGGCATTGTGGTGGGCGCCTGTAGTCCCAGCTACTCAGGAGGCTGAGGCAAGAGAATCACCTAAGCCCAGGAGGTGGAGGTTGCTGTGAGCTGTGTGACGCTATGGCACTCTACCGAGGGCGACAAAATAAGACTCAGTCTCTAAAAAAAAATAGTAATAATAATAAGGAAAATTAGTTATTTAGGCTATTTCCACTATAATGTAAGAGAAAATTATAACCTGACCTATTCTTAGATGCTTGCAACAGAGATTTGGGGGAAGCTAATAGCGGTGTTTGGGGGTCATCCTATATGTAAGGCAAAAGATTCAAGAAAGTACATACCAGCTGCCTTCTTCTTGTCCATGCCCTTCCCCACACAGTTCAGTGCCGCCGTTACCACTGTGGGCTCTGAGAAACCCAATACTCTCTTCACTGTCTTCTCTATCCATGGTTTCAGCTCATCCAGCTCCCTCTTAGACAGTGCCATTGTTCAGGAGAAGGAAAACAATAGCTCAAGTGGGATTCAATACTGCACCAAAAAGGAAACCAAATCAAGTTAGAGAACAGGAAAAGATTAACATAGCCAGGCAGAATGGCATGTGCCTGTAATCCCAGCTACTTGAGAAGCTGAGGCAGGAGAGTAACTCGGGCCTAGGAGTTTGATACCAGTCTAGGAAACACAGTGAGATCCATCTCAAATAAACCCACCAGGCTCGGCACCCGTAGCAGAGTGGTTACAGTGCCAGCCACATACACGGAGGCTGGCAGATTTGAACCTGGCCCAGGCCAGCTAAATGACACTTGCAACAAAAAACAATGACAATCAGCAACAAAAAATAGCTGGGCATTGTGGCAAGTGTATATAGTCCCAGCTACTTGGGAGACTGAGGCAAGAGAATAGCGTAAGCCCAAGAGTTTGAGGTTGCTGTGAGCTGTGATGCCACAGCACTCTACTGAGGGCAACATAGTAAGACTGTCTTAAAAAA